GTATAAAACAAGAGGAAACAGAACCTTATGGAAAATGAAAATAGGGGAAAGTACTAATCATTTCAGAAATACTTAAGGTTTTTGTTTTGTAAAAGAATGTATATTCAGTGTATTCATTTTACAACTTTGCCCCTAACTGGGTTGAAAACTTGCTGAGAAAAATGAGACTTCACATCTTTTTTTTTTTTCTTTTTGAGAGAGGATCTTGCTATGTAGCTCAGGCTGGCCTTGAACTCACTTTGTAGCCCAGGCTGGTCTCAAACTCACAACAATCCTGCTGCCTCAGCCTCCTGAGTGCTGGAATTACAGGTGTGCAGATTTCAAATCTTAAGATATCTTGCGGCCTGGTAGGATAATGTGTACAGTTTTGAATGTCTTCTAAAGGGGATAGTGTTTGGTCTTTAGTATTTTAGTCTTGCCCTCCTGCGTTTGTAGTATGTAATACTGATCAGTGGTCCTCAGGCCCAGTTCTCCAACTACTTTAAGGCCATGAAATGAACAGTTGCCATTTGACCCTACACCTTGTCCCCACTTCCAAAATTATTGCTTAATTTTGCTGCCATTTGATTGTTATTTAATAAAAACACTCAGTCCCAGTAGTGGAGTCTAGTTTTTTCTCTGTATAGGCCTTAACACTTTTACATTCAGCTTATACATTTTATGTAATACTGAACTATGAATGACTTAAGTAGATTTACACATTAAGTGGTGAACTTCATGTTGAACAGATACAAAAGGGTGATACTACTTTTTAAAATACATTTGGTACAGGGTCTCACTATGCAGCTCAGACTCCTAGTGGCTGTCCTGTTTTCAGTCTTCCCAGCACTGGGATTACAGGTATGCGCCATGCCTGGTCTTGGTGGCCTGCTCGGTGCACCCAGGGGCCCAGGGGTGGGGCTGGCTTGGCCATGTGGTGCCAGAATCAAACCCAGGTCCCTAAGCTTGCCCTAAGCAAGCCCTTAGTCTGCTGAGCTCTCTCACAGGCCCTGAACTCTTATTAAAGAAAGTGTCAGAAAGCTTTGACTATTCTTATGCTTGTCTACTGATTACCAAAATATTTCTGATAATATTTTCCTAGGTGCCTCAAATGTAAACTAATTCACCCTAATGTTATCTACTTATTTGTAACTCATCTCATCCCAAAACTATTTAAAACTTAAAAATGTGGGCCAGGGATGTAGCTCAGTGGCACAACGCCTGCCTGGCAAGTGCGAAGCCCTGAGTTCAATTCCTGGTACCCAAAAAGTAAAATTAAAAAGTGTAAAGGGAGGGCTGAGGAGATAGCTTAGTAGAATAAGCACTTGACGGCAAGCACAGGCTCTTGAGTTCAATCCCCGGTACCACATTAAAAAACAAACAAACAAAAAGATAGGAGACAGCTCACCGCAAAGGTTTAGGCCTGGGGATGGGGGGAAGAAAAGTTTTTGTGTTCCTACTAAATGAAGAACACTAACTCAGACATAGTATAAGAGGATAGCATTCAAGATTCTCGTTTAGACCCAGGATTGGTGGCACAAGCCTGTAATTCCTGTACTTGGGAAGCTGAGGCAGGAGGATCCCTGACAGCCGGAGACCAGCATGGGCTACAAAGTGAGCTCAAGGCCAGCCTGAACGGCAAGACCCTGTCTCAAAAAGACACACACAAAATGATTCTAATTTAGCGACTTAGATCCTGCCTGGAAAAGGGGATGAGGGCGGCAGGGATGTAGCTCACGGTGAAGATACGTGGTTCAAGCCTTAGTAAAAAAAAAAAAAAAAAAAACCCAAACAACCCTTTAATTTGGACTCTCCTCACAAATAATATGAATAGTATCGGACAATACTATAAATAAAGGTAACATCCGTAGGATTTAAATAAGTTTGCACAAGAAAAAGACCCACCAACAAAACCAAAGTTTAATATAAAGCATGGAGCCAGGAATGCCAAGTGAGGATTTCTTTTTCAGAAGGGCTTTGCTGGTATCTTCATGACCTTTAACCATGAAAACTGGTGGGTGGCGACGGGATCAACTCGTAAGTAACAAAATGGATTTGCAAAACCATGCTCCATCTTCCGGACTTGCAGAAGGAATATGAAACGGGTATTTTGTTTCACCAGCAACAGAGCCTAATTCACGGGCTAAGCCAGAAATACCCACCCCTTAAGCGTCACTCGAATTTCGGCCAACGAAGCAAGGTTCTTTCCATCAACCATAACGCTAGCTCCGCTGAAGAAGCTGCCGAGAGGTAGAACTGAAACTCCAGACACAAACAATCTTGACTTCTCTTTAGCGGTTTGCTGCGTTCTTGGCGCCAAAACCACCTTCAAGGTCCGTCCCTTACCGGAACTATACAATCGTAAAACACGTAATCAATAATCCTCCGCCTCACTAAAATAGTCCCTCCTGGGATCTCGCTCATACACACTTGTCCGGCTCAACAGACCTTCATTACTTAACATATAAACTTAAGAAGCATAGCACTTTTACGTTCAAAGAGAAACGTGGGTTTTTCTAACCAATTTTCCTCCACAGATTCCTCCGCCAAAATGTGTACTCGAGGAGCCTTCACTTCCGGGTCCGCCATTTTGTTGCCTCCATTTCTCCACGAGGGGGGGGTAAAGGCCCCCAAAATATGCAAACATCAAAAGGCCAAAAAGTAACCGGCACTAACAGGGAGTCTTAACTAGAGAAGAAAACGAGACCAAACTGGCGGGCTCGGCGAAAGCGCAGCCGGCAGCGTCCGGGACGAGGAGGTGAGGGGGGAAGAGATGCGCGGACTCGGGCATCGGGGCTGGAGCGCACGGTGCCGTGAGAAATCGTGGTACTTCCCAGTCCTGCCGGGACTTCTGGGTGCTCACCGAGCGCGCCCCTCATCGAGGCGGGGGGGAGGGGGACGGAGAGGAAGGGGATGCCCTGGAGAGGAAGGGGAGGGGACTGGAGTAGGTAAAGACGGGGGTGGGTGTAGGACCTGGGGCTGGGGAGCTGGACCGCGCGAAGCCGGGGCCACGGCGGTGACCGCTAGGGGGCGGCGTCGGCGGCCCGAGGGTTGCGGGCGCCGGGACCCGGCTCCTAAGGAACGGATGCGGCGCCCTGGGGATTGGCGGTGGGAGGAAACCGGGACTCCAGTTCTCGAAGTCCAGTAATACGCTGAAGACTGAGTGAGCTCGGTAATCTGAACAAGAGCGGCAAGCACTCCACCTCGCTTCTGCTCAGTTGTTTGCACAGCTGGCCGCCCGTGGGGACGCGTGCCAGACAGGCGATTGCCGGACCATGGATTCTGTCGTTTGGTTGCTCTTTTCCTCCTTTCAGTTTCCTTCTGTTCTCGCAGGTTTCTTTCAGCCGCCAGTCCCTTCCCTTGCCTCTTCTCCTAAAGGCTGCCCTCCAGCTGGCTCTCCGCCCCCGGCCTGGCCGTGGAAAAAGGCACCCTGGGACGTACCTGCTGCAGTTTAACTTTGTGGTCCTGTTTTCATCGTGCTGGGTCCACCCAGCCCCGTAGACATGTTCTTAAGCATGTATTTTCATACTTGCTTTGCCACCCAAATTCTTGCGTAAACAAAAATATTCTTTGGTAATAGAGGACTTTGTTAAGAGCGCAAGCATTTCGTGGTTGTTAAAACACACTTATTGAGAGTTCTTGTTTTTAATTAGGGAGGGAAAGTTAGTGCTTTTTCATTTTATTCATCTTCAGAATCCTAGGAGGCAGGGTTGGAGATGTGCCTCAGAGGTCAGACATTTGCCTACCAGATGTGAGGACCAGGGTTGAACCCCAGTGGAGGGTGAGAGGGTCTTAGGAGACAATTTAGACCACATCTGTCTTCTCACTATCCATGGGGAAAGTGAGGTACATAGTGACTTAGGCCAGCCTGTACTACATCACAAGTCCCTATCTCCAAGAAGTAGGGGGGAATCAAGAAGTATCATGTATAAGTACAAATTTCTTTTAATGAACATGATTATGGGGCCGGAGAGATGGCTCAGCAGAATAAGTGCTTCCCTGGCAAGCTCAAGGGCCTGAGTTCAATCCCCAGTTCCCCCCCACCCCGAAAAAAAAGAAGAAGAAGAAGTAGCCAGTGATATAGCTCAGCACCATAAGTTCCTGCCTTGCAAGCTCAAAGTCCTGAGTTCAGCCCAGGTACCACAAAAAATATAAATAAGGGTTGGGGAGATAGCTTAGTAGAATAAGTACCCGACTGGCAAGCACGGGGTCATGAGTTCAATCCCTGGTACTGCAAGTAAATAACTTTTACTTGAAATAGTTGCTTCAGGTAAAGTCTAAAGAGTAGCCAGGTGTGCTGGTGCACACACTTGAGAGGCTGAAGCAGGAAGTTTGAGACCAGCTTAGACTACAAAATAAGGCTATCCTAACTT